CGCACCACTACACACTGGTCAGCTAGTGAGCGGCGTGCCATCTGGCGACCAACTGAGCATCACGATAGACGTGGACCCTTGCGCGGCTCATGCCCCGTCGATCGCTCCCTGCTTGCACTGGTACCGCTGGTGAGGTGCGAGCTGCGTTCCCCAGGCTGGCTGGATGCAGCTGGAGCTGCAGCTGCAGCTGGTGTCGTGCCCGTGCTGGGTGCCCTTGTGCTAGCTGCAGCACGAGCTGGCGCTGGACGGCCGACGCAGACACAGACATGCCTTGCGCCTCGCACCTCCCGGCCACTGTGTCTGGGAACGCAGCAGCGAGCGCAAATTGCTCACCTTCTCCGTCCGGATTCACAGGATCGCCTCAGCTATGTCGCTGAATGCAGCGCACGAGCTGCTCGCGACTCGCAATGCCGTTCGGGCCAACAAGGCGAGCGTCAATGCCGGCGACACTGGCGCGAACCCGTCCGAGCACGCGAGCTCCGTCGCCCGTGGCGGCACCCTGGGCGGCACCAGGTCGAGACGGGCGCAACAGCACCAGGACTACTTCTCGTCCCCGAGTGCGGGCAACAACGACGGCGGTGGCAACGCGGACACGCAGCAGAACGATGATTGGTGGGAGGCGGAACTGGAGGGAGATCTGGAACACTTCCGGCGTCACGGATTCGGTCGCAGACAGGGCGGAGATGAAGTGAGAGGAGGTTATGGGGAAGGCCGCGTGGACGGCAAGCACAAGAGGCAGGACAAGAGCAGGGAGAAGGCGAGATTGAAGAAGAAGGCTGAGGACAAGAGGAAGGATAAGGGGAGGGGGCTAGAGGTGGACCACCATGCCACTGCCAGGGAGGGCCACGCGGCCAGGTGACGACCGCGGCTGGCACACAGGGTGGTGCAACCGCTCCTTCTGGCGGCGATGCCAGTGCCAGCAGAACACCCGCAACGCCTCCAACGACCGGCGCATCTTTGACGAGAACCACGGCCACAGCTACGGCTACAGGGATGCATCACGGTGGCACCGATGTTTTTGCGCGGATGACCGCTGTGCGGTCGCGCGAGTCAACCGACGGACGGCCCGAACAGGCAGGCCAGACAGGCCAGGCCGACCACAAGCGAGACAAAAGGCATCGCAACCACGTGCCGCGCGACTATGAGACCCTCCGGCGCGAGGCCGAGGAGGCCCGGCGCTACGACTACTATCGTCCACACTTGCCTGTGGGAGGCGACCGGCGCGCCCGCAAGCACAGGCAGAAGCTGGAGCGCAAGCAACAGGCGGAGATGGTGGCTCATGGCGGCGACACGCCGCTCGCGATGGCGTCGCCGACCGGGTTGGTGATGCCGTCCCCTAGCGGAGGCATAGGTGCCGCCATTGCCGCGGCAGCTGGCATTGCGGGTGGGATCGCTGGTGTTGAGCGGGAGCCACAACAGCAGCAGGTTCTCGTTGGTCACGGCGAGAATCAGGCCGTGATGAAGCATGCGCAGCCGTGGACGGTGCTGGACGTGAAGGAGAGCCGAGCGTACCGACGGCAACAGCAAGAGTGAGTCAATCTCACAGCCCTGTCAATCATGCGCAACAGTCCCTATGGGCTCAGCTAACCCCTGCGTTCTTTTGCCGCGCGCACCGCAGCTCCACTCTCTCCACCTTGACCTCTCTCGCCGACCGAACGACCGGGATGACAGCCAGTCTTGACGCGACGTACTCTGCGATCTTCGACCGACTGACCGACCTGAACGCAGCCGTCTACGCGTTTAAGGATCTACTCGACGTCACCGCGGAGCTGCGTGCGCAGCTCGACACCCGCGTCGCAGGCCTCAAGGCTGACGCAGACACACGCGTGCGGTCCATCGACACGTTCGCGCCTCAGATCGCCAAGATCAACGCCTTGCAGCAACGCATGGCGGGCTCGCGCGAACGCGTCGCCGAGCTGACGCGCCGGCTGGGCACTGCGCGCGAGCGCATCGCGCGCTGGCACCAGAGCGAGGACGACTGGGCGGTCAACTTCCGCAAGAAGGTGCGCGTCGGGCTCGGCATCGCGATGGCCGTCTCCGCACTACTCATCGCGGTCCACTGGTTGCGCGTTGGCTGGCCCTTCTCCTCTGACTCGGCTACGCTCTTGGGCGGGCTGTCAGGCGGAAAGGTTGCCGTGTCCCGGCTGGCCAGTCAGGCCGTTTGTCCTGCCTCGGGCCTCGATCCCTTGGACGTCTGTCTCAATCCAACATCGTTGCTCGTTGGAGGATTCGGCACGTGAGCTGGCAAAAGTGTCAAGCTGATATGTCAAGCTGCAGACGGGTCAGGCCTCGTCTTGCACGTCCATTACGTGGCTGACAGCTGTGCAGGACTCACGGCTATACTTGCCTTGCGAGCCGAGATAATGTCGGACTGCTATCGTACGGAAGGACGATAGTCCGAGGCGATCTCAACAGCTGGCTGTGTCCCCCAACCGCGATTACATTACTTGAGATGCGTTACCACCGATGGCGGCAAGGCTACCACCTGTCAGACCGAATATCCAGTCCTGCGAGGGAGACGGGCAGCTCCATCTTCTTAAGCATGGCAATCGGGGCGAATGGGCCTTGCGGAATGTGCAAGCTAAGCTACAACGCGCCATACAACCGAAACTCCGTGCAACAGCCGCACATTCACACTCGCGCCGTGTATCGCCGACGATGCTGCATCCGCGTCTGCATCACTGTACCATTCTCTGCAGAGTCGGCAGCCGCTGTTCCGTGGATGTGCGGTCGTTACCATAGCAGCCAACTGAGAGCGCGATTGCAGTGGCGGCCAGTGGAGATGCTCCAGCTCGGGACGTCGCTTTCGGCTGCTGTACCGCATTACAGGGTTGACGGCAATGTTGCGCACGCAACCCACGGGCTGTCAGTCGTATCACAACGTCTGCATTGGTTGTCGTTCTTCGTTGATCTGAGGCTGGTCCCGCAGAGATCGGTCGCGGCCTCGCAGAAGGACTCAGGAGCGTCGAGCTCTATGGTGCTGTCGCTGACCTCCCTTTGCCCGGGTCGAGCCCCGATCATGGACACGAGCAGCCAAAGGCAGCGTCTACAGTTAAGGCACAGTGGCTCCGTTCTCAAGCCGTCACGATTGATACGTTGTTGGGCTGTTCTGCGCCCTGACGCCAGGATCCATCCACGATTGCGTGTTGCGCACATCGCATGGGCAAGGCTCACCCTGACTGATCACTGCCGTGAGCTACCGTCCTGCACTGCCGCCAGGCGTTGCTCTGCCGCCACCGTTGACGAACCCATGTTCGTTCGCAACGGCATGTGCATGGGGACGTAATCCTGGCATCTCCGGAGCAAGGGTCTTCACCGATGGGCTCGCGCGACTCCATCGTGCGTGTAAGGCTCAAGTACACAAGGTCTACATATCGTGGCCATCCAAGAAGGGCTCATCCCTGAGCCCTCAGAGCGTGCTCCCACAGTCCCAGTCCCCAACTCTACTCGTTAGGTCCGCGAATCAGAACGATGTCGATTGTTATACTGCTGCAGGACTGCGAATCACGCACGGCAGCACGGCTGTCGACCATCTAGACTCCGTAAAGCGGTGGTAGCTGCATGCTGCTGCCCGCATGTCTCATCTCCTCGCATCCCTGCACCGATACTGTAGCCAGTCTCAACTGCAGAGCGGGGCTGTCCAAGGCCCCGCGTCCTCAGGACAGCGACGTCGCCCAAGCCTAGAAGGATAGTAGCGTGCCACTGCTTGCAACTTGCTCCCCTCCCTTATCCCCGGTGCGCGATCAGGGTGTCATCGTGACATCGCGGCTGAACTGATTCAGGGGGCTGAGTTTGTCTGGTTGGAGGACGGTGGGAGCAGGAGCAAAAATATGGTCCCAACGAGGGTCGAACTCGCGACCTTGGCGTTACACCGCCTTTTCGGCAATATTAGCACCACGCTCTAACCAACTGAGCTATAGGACCTTGATGGTGGGTTTCTCCACAGGTGATATATAGCCACAACGCCTATTTTCCACACGTGCTGTCAAGTCAGTCACACCCCTGGCGTCGGCAAGTCAGCCTGAGGTTGCCGGCATTGTGTGCTTGGTGAGCAGCTGCCGAGGGACGGATTCACGGCCATGCGTGCGATGATGCCGATTGGTGTCACGCTTGACTGCTCTTTGCCAACGCCGGTCGTACCTCAGACCGAGTCATCGGACCGTGTCACTGGCAAGCGTCGACTGCACCGCGGCGTCAGGGGACGGAGATTGTCCGAGTGTCTCTGGCCTCAGGCATAGTCATCGTCACACCATGTTGCGCGGAACGGCGAGCCGACCATCAACATGGTGAGGTGGCTCTCACGAGCGGCCCGTGTCGCGCGTCGATTCACTCATACGGGCTCGCAATTGACCGCGCGTTGCTGCTGTCTGACCGCCGACCACCGAGCATTGCAACAGTGGTGGACGCTGCGGTCCCCTCCCTCAGCCACCCTACTTGTGTAGGCGATACATCCAGACGTGAGGCTTCAAGTGGTGTCGCCAGCGCAGTGCGACCGCGGATCCACAGTAAGGTGTGCTTGCCTGCAATGCGACAGGCCACAGGAGGCGAGGACTGACGTGCGCCGGTAGCGACGGGCATCGCTCGCGAGCGCTGAGTGGCTTCGGCCGCGCATAGCGTTACCGGACTCGCCGAGCGTATGTTTAGCCGGGTCTAGATTGGCGTTGCAGTCGTCACTTGCAGATGTATCCGTCGGTAACGGTGATGGCTGAAGGCCCGGCACGAGGCGGCTCCTGTGGCAGGCGATCTGTCACAGCGCCGGTTGCTGGCATGAACGCACCCCGCACCACACGCATTGGTATTCATTTCGCGTTGTAAGTGCTGATCAATCGCGCTGCTTGGGCTATGAGAACTCCTGATGGTGGGACCCAGGCCTGTCTCCCATTCGCCCATAGTCGGGTACATCTAGGCCACCACGCGTTCGTGCGTGCGACACACTGCTGAAGGCGTGCTGAGGAGTCCCTGCAGATCGTCGTGGCTTTGTGTAGACGGGACCAGGGCGACGGATCGGCCCTTCTAGCTAGTGCAGTGCAAGGAGCTCAGACGTCCGTCTGGTAGGCCACCGACCACCGGCCGCCCGAGTCACTCGGCCGATGAGTTTCAGCACCATGCCATGCTTGGCCACCTCCTCCGCTATGCGGCGACTGGCATTGACGCCACGGATGGGTAGATCCCGGTCTGCTTGGCTGCGCGAGGCAGTCTCAGCCCCGCTTAGACGAAGACACCCGTTGTGCAGTATTTCTCATGCGCACGGCCACGTCCTCACCATGCGGCGCGCGCTGATCGCTGATCGCTCCACTCTTGCGAGGTGCATGTGGCATAGCCCCTCCAACCCCGAGAGGCCGAAGCATTATCCGGAACCCTGCACCTCCTGCCTGGCAGCTGTCCTGCAAGTGTCATCTGTATCTGCAATTGACTGCGAATCTCGGCGCGACGCAACAGGTGTGTGGGCGTTCGAGGGGATGTGAGTGCGTGGCCCTCCATCCGCAAAGCGCTGGCACCGGCCGCATACCGACTGGCATGCTCGCTTCGCCGCGTTCTCCAAGGGTCTGCCTGCGCTTGCGTGACGCGTGATGCGTGATGCGAGCTGCGGGCTGTGTGCCGAACTCTCCAGCGTGCATGGCATGGATGGCTGACTCGGCTGAGGCCTGGCAACGACCAGAGGATGCTTCTTGTGACTCGTGCAGCGGTTGTAGCCAGCAGTAGCAGCAACGCTCACCGCGACACCACGGCCCGCTGCGCGAGTAGCAGACTGTACCGTGCCGTGCCGTAGCGCGCTGCCGTTGCGCGCTCGCCATCAGCAGCAAGCAAGGCACTTCTCTGCCTCCTGGGCTAGGCCATGGTTGTGCTCGCCACACGGCATGCGACTGGGCGTGACCATAGGTCGAGCAGTCCCGCTTTCACTGGCTCTCCCTTGCCTGGGCTTCTCCATTTCTCATGCCCACCCGTCCGTCTGATACCTCAAGGGGCGCTGAGAAGGCATGCGCTGGAGACCACCGCGGGCCGGTTCAGGCCTTATCTGCTCGTCCATGCCGCCGTCGTGATCCCTGATCGCTGCGCCGCCAAAGTCCCTATCTTGTCTTTCGGGAGCGGCTCGCCAGCCAGTCTCGACTGCCTGCTATCTCCAGCAGCATAAGCCCATTCGCCGCCGAACGACAGCCAGCGTCCAATCCGGATTGCTGTCCCGCGTCGCGCAGGGCCAGGCAGCACCAGGCTGCCCCCAACATCACAACAGCGGCGCCGTCCGCCGTCAGCAACGCCAGCCAGCGGGTGGTGCTGTTGCGCTGGGTTCTTGCCGCCGGTCCGTGCTGGAAGTCGATTCGACGGTCTAACGTCTGGCCATATCTTTCCAACGAAAACCCTGCGAAGACGTCGCGCAGGCGTGTGTTTTCCTCTGTCTTGCGAGCGTCCACGCCTCATCCCTCCTCCTCCTCCTCCTCATCATCACCTCACCTCACTCCCATCTCTCCTCCAAGCCCGACGGCCCGGCTGGCGTTTATTACCCCGGATTCCAGACCGTGGGGTCTCGGGGCAGCTCGGGTCGGGCGAGTCGGGCGATCCGGGGACTGGCACCAAGCACCCAGGGCCTTCTGCCTGCGTAGTCTGGCCCCTCGATCGGCGCCGCGTCTCGTCTTCGCTCTCGCTGCCGTCTCCAATCCGGGGCGTCGGCTACTTGCCCATCAGCCTCGCAAGCGCCCTGGGGGTCCGGACGCCCTGTGGTGCTCGCCCTCGAGTCAGCAAAGGACGGCAGCGCCATCGCCATCGCCATCGCCATCGCCGCCCAGCCGGCCCAGCACGCCGCTTGCTGCCCTGCTGCTGTGACGAGCAGCGAAGGTGCATTGCCACCCCACCCAGACCGGCCGCGCATCCCTGACTTTTTAACGCCCGCAGGGTCTCGCCGTGCAACGCTCGCAGAAGCCCAATCGCGGCTTGGCCCGTGGCGCGCTGCAGTCCTGCCCAACCCAGACCCGCATTCAGACCCGGCCACGGCCACGACGACGCCCGCTCACTGGCATCAACCGTTGCCCAGGCCCAGCTCACCCTCGGGTGTTGGTTGCACTCGCAGACTGCACAGTACTGCGAGCGGGCGCGAAGGGCAGGGGGATAAGGGCAGCGGTATCAGCAGCACAGGTGCAGCGCAGCGCAGCACAGCTCAGCAGAGAACAGCACTGGACAGCAGGCCAGGCCGGCTTCTCTCCGCTTGCCCCTCTGCTCATCCCCTCTCCTCGCCGCCGCCGCCGCCGCCGTGGGGGAGCCCATCTGCAGGCCAATTGGCGATTCTCACCAGAGGCGAGGAGGCGTGGACGAGCTTCTGTCAGTTGTCCTCAGCCTGCTTCTCGGCTTCTTCCAGCTCCCAGCTGCCAGCTTCCAGGTGCTGCTGCGCTGAGTGGAGCAAGCAAGCGTCTGGCGTGCAGGGCCGCCTATAAGATTCGCCCTGCGCTGCAGGCTCGACATCGGTCGAGATCCCTGCATACGCCATCCGCCGGTCCCTCTGCCTGTGGCTGCGACCAGGTACTACTAGTGCGAGTGCGCGCACGCCGTTCAACGAGGCACTGGTCACCTCTGGGCCTTGCGGTGCGCCGCCGCCGCCGCCGACTGTCACGCCAGTCGCATCCTGCGTGCTGCCTGCCAGGAGGGATCTGAACGTTGCGACAGTGACACGCCGTTGCTGTTGTCGCTGTCATCGCCAGAGTCACGCCATCAGACCACTATGAACAACCAGCCAGCGTAGCCCTGACCTGACTGACACGACGACTGCAGTCACCGATCGACATTGAAAAGGCGTTCACCGGCCAAGCCTGCCTGAGCTGGCTGTCCTGGGGGCGCGAAGACCAACTGAGCGTTGCGTCCAGAGTGAGCGCGGTCTGCGAGATGTCCTCGGGCCTTGGGCAGGTCGGCAGGAGTATCCAACAACCAGCAAAGTCTGCCAGACACTACCCACGCCCTTCATCATCATCATCATCATCGCCGCCGCCGCCGCCGTCAGCATTGCAACCGCCCGCAATGGCTCTGGTCGATCTCAGCAGCACTCACCACGACGACCTCTTCCCGTCCTTCGATGCGGGCTACTCCAGCCAGGACGGCTGCTCGCCCGCGCAGCCGGCGTGCTCTGCTGGACCCCTCCGCCAAGGGCAGCCGCACGACGCGGCAGAGACGCCAAAGCAGCTGCCCAGCCCCGAGTCAGCCGACCATGTGCTGGTTTCGTGCGATGACACGACCATCGCCGACGAGCCAACACACCATGTGGACTACCTGACCCATTGTTGGTCGGAAGAGGATATCTGGAGCACATGGCGATACGTGCTCTCTAAGCGCTCAACATTACCGGCTGTTGCGAGACTGGAGAACGCGAGCTGGCGGTGCTGGGGCAAATGCAGGGCTGGTGGACTGACAGTGCTAGCTGAGAAGATTGATTGGTACGTTTGGATCTACCATCCCTTCCTCTCTCCCAGCTGGCTCAATGGCCTATCCCCTTCCCTTCTACCTGGACGATGAGATCAGGCCATCGCAGCGCAATCACTGCGGGATGCGTCATTCGCACCATGCGACCGTCAGGCCATCTCATGGCTTTGACATCTTGTGCGACCGACTGGGTTGCAAGCCCACCGCTGGCGATATCAACCTTACCATGAATGGCAAGTGGACTGATCAGACCTCGCTGGCTTCCGAGGACAACAGGCTGAAAGACCATGACGTGCTGTGGTTGTACGGTCCCCTCCTCCCTTACACCGAAACCCGACACCAGAGAGGACGCGGGTATAGCCGGACGGCCTCATCGATATCAGCTTCAAAAGCTTTGTCGCTGTCTCCCAGACGGCGGTCATCGTCCCCTTCAGCAACAGCGACAGCGACAGCATCGTCACCGTCATCGACATCGTCACCGCCTTCAACTCCATCTGCCGCCTGCTCGCCAACATCCGCATCCG